AACTATTTGTGGGGTACATTATAGTTATACTATATGTCTGCGTGTGTAAAGATGTTTTACACCTTCAGTGCTCAATTTCGTACGCCAATCTGTGAGTTATCACACAAAATGATGTATCATTCACATTAGCACTACAGCGGCATTTACGACGGCATATTTATAGGGCAAAATAAAACAAGGATGTATATTCATGCTGGCCATAGACTTCGATACAACACTTTATATACCACATTCTAAATATAGCGCTCTGTTGTTGTTCTTTTGTTGTGGTTTTGTTTACAGACTCAACAACGAGCACGAGCGAGCGATCCGATGCAGCAACACTCCCCACGCACGCAGTAGGCTTAGTACCGCTTAACAGCCGAGAAGTACAAATAACTGAGGTACGCGACAACAGCGCAATAAGATCGGACGAGACTCTCTCAAACGTTCACACGGAGTCTATGTCCCACCCCAGACACCGACTTCTGCACGTGGCGTCACCCACCATTATCCTGGGGACGCTGGTGGGTGTGTATGAGCTAATCATGTGGTTGGGTCTAGCGTTCGGGGGCGCAGAGGCATTTGCCACGTGGCTTACTAATTTCGACGAGACTATCAGTGGATTGGCGGCCCAGATGTGGAAAGCTATCGATTGGACCTAAATATTCTTCGCAGCAAGTAGTGCTATGAGCGGCTTTGTACTGGCACTGTCGACGTCTTCGATCTTTTGGTATGCAACGCGTACACCCCGTACCGAACTTCTCGGACAGTCTGCCTTACTTTCCACTCATTAACTGTGTATAATCGCACTCGATAGTGTGCATAACAGCACTATACAGTGCATAGTGAAACTCTGTTGTTTTAATATTGTACGTATTTAACTACCCTCACAATTGAACATTGCACACAATCCGACTCCATAGGCCATCGATGATCTCCAACGGCTTCTGGATGGCTCCCTGGGCCATATACTTGGGCATGAACAGTGACTACGATAGCGCTCGGGGATGAGAGTACGCAGGCGTTGTATTTGGTGGTGTTAACATAGTCAACTTTGCCGCCATGGCTGTGATCGTGATATTCCTACTGTTCATGGTCAATTTTATGGACCCCAAGACACACAGCCAACGCATGCCAAGGTGCGTTCCGAAATGGTTCGAAAGAAGTCTATACGAATTATGACCTTCATACATAGCAGACGGATGCATGAAAGTGAAATAGATATATATTGTATATATGA